TTCAATCAATTAGGTATACCATGTATCACGGATTGTGTAATGGCTGAATTGGAAAAATTAGGACCGAAATACAGGATTGCGCTTCGGTAAATACTATAATTTATCAATTCTTTAATTTCTATGTTTTCTATAATTATTTTCAATTTAGTGTCGCGCGTGATCCAAGATTTGAAAGACTACCATGTACTCACAAAGGAACGTATGCTGATGATTGTTTGGTACGTCGAGTGATGCAGGTTTGTAAATTCATGCCTTATATATATTACATGTTCGTCATTATACCCCAATATTCATATCTTTTTTTATTTTATTCATAAAATAGCATAAATGTTATATTGTAGCAACATGTGATAAAGATTTAAAACGCCGTATTCGTAAAATTCCTGGTATCCCTATAATGTATATTTCTAAAAGAAAATATACAATTGAAAGATTACCGGAAACTTACAGCGCTTATTAATTTCCAAACCAGAATAATAAATTAAACGATACTTCTATTTATTCTTACTGCTACTTAATAATGATGCTACATCGATGCTTCAAGGAAATTCCATTTTTTTAAACACATTAAGTTCTTTCAAGATGCTCATCATAGATAAACATATGCATATGTGCTAGGTGCTAAGAAAAGGGCCTAAATTGACGATTTTTTTGCATAAATCAATTTAGAATAAGATTAGGATTATTTTTACTATAACAAAAAATTTGATTTCTGAAGATCTTTTTTTTATCAATTCTTTTCTCAACGCCTAGCCCATATGTATAAATGGTCATGTTAGTCTTTATGCTTGACTTGGTCAATTTAATCAAACTCGAATCAGCATAAACTAATTTGACCAAGTCAATTTAATTAGGTCAAGTTAAACTATTAGTCAAAATAAGTTATTACGTATTTAAAAATATACTAGTACCCTAGCCATGGCGAAAAAAATCCGGGTCACGTGGCGATGATCATCCGATTTATCCAATCAAATTTAATAATTTTTTTAAAATTTTTTAACTTTGATCGAGGATATCTCGACACCCACCTGACCAAATTCGATCAACTCTTTTTTTTTTGATTCTACAGAATTTTACAATTCAAATAAAAAAAAAATTGATCGAATTTGGTCAGGTGCATGCCGAGATATCTTCGATCAAAGTTTGAAACCAATTTTTGCCATAGCTTATATTTGATAGACGTTTAGAATTTTACAAAAACTTTGATCGAAGATATCTCGACACCCACCTGACCAAATTCGACCAATTTT